AAAATAATTCGGAAATGTGCATCAAAACTTATCGAGGTCCAAAATACTTCATGATTAACGAAACAGATTTTGCCACCTGTGAATTATCAGAAAGTGAAATGGAAAATTCAAAACTTCACTTCATTATTCCTGGATTATGTACAACACCTAAAATTCATCTTTGGGAGGTTCATAGTTGTGTCCAAGCCAGCAATGCAGTTGTAAAACAACCACAAGTCAAAATAGTTGATGATAACTTCTACATCTATTGCAGAGGTCATAATATCACTCTGTTTAAAATCAATAATACATGTCCTGATCAAATTCTAAAGATTTCCAGATCCATCAATTTTACCTTAGCGAATCAACCTTATACGGTATCCGCTGTTTCTACTTATCATACTGAACCAATATCGCCTTGGACAAATTTGATAAACCTGCAAATTATGCCTTACGAACCGTATCAGCTAGATTTGACTCCAATAAACGTAAAATATCTAGAAAGCCTAATTAAACAACAACAAAATCTTCCAAATCAATCAAAAAGTTATCTTGACATTCTAAAAGAATATGCAATTTCACTAACTTTCGGATTCTTGGTCTTTCTAATAATCATCTTTATAATTCAACAAGTCATCACAGTTGTCCTGACCAGGAAAAGACCTGTTATTGTATCAGTTATTGATCAGACACCACAACTTTATCGAAGGAAGTCAACAAAAGAAAAACCGAAGATCAGAACAAAGAAGATCAAAACACGGCGACAACCATTAGAAGAAATTCCTCTTAGTTCTTTATATTAATTCATATTTCTTTTTACTTATATTTTCTTTTTAGTTTCCATCTTCTAGAAAGCTGTTAGACCAGCCTACAAAATATCATAGACCGGCCCAACCTCTACAATGTTTAACATTTTCCGTTTGTTCATATTTCTTATTCCTGTCAAATGAAATTTGGACGTTCTTTAAGCCTGATGGTACACCCAGGGACAACCGTTTAACCTGGACCACCTTCAATATCACTTGTACCCAACTCAAAGAGCGAAGATTTGCCAAAGTAACTGTTTCAGCAACAAACCAAGAACAGCTAGAAAAGGGTGAAAAGCGCTTGAGAGAAGTTTTGGAAAAGGCTACCACTGGTGTTAAGAGATTACCGTCCAGTCATTGTACCATCTGTTTCAGTACCGACCATCTCAAGCTCGACTGTCATCATTGTGCCGCGTGTGGTAAACCTGATCATAGGGTCAAAAATTGTAAATTTATTCAAAAAACCCTAGTTAAACCAAATCAAGTTCAAACACCTAAACCAAAACCTACTGGCATCCACCTCTCGAGAAAAGCCAGGATTCAATTGATGAAAAGAAAAACAATTAATTTAAACAAAGTTTGGTGGACAATGTTAGGCACATTTGATAAGTCATTACTTGATCACCTTAAACCAGTCGGTCCAGAAGATGATTTAAAAGAAACCATCGCTATTAACTTCATTGGTGAAACACACAATGGTAAACCGATCCTGACGATAATCACAGGATATTTTGGAGGTTCACATGGTGTTTGTACTCTTTATTGCGCTGCCACTAAATTAAATGACTTGCGAGACTTTAAAACTCCAATTACTGGTATCCAAGGTAATACTGAAACAACAGAATTCAGTGAAATTCAAGACAACATCCTTACTTGTTGCACTAATCGAAGAGTTATTTTCTTTGGAGATATCGCCGAGTCACTCAATAAACTTTGGCTAGATTATGGTACCTTTCTCAATGCTAACACTGACTTCATCAGCCTTCAAGAATTGTACGGCCCTGAGAGAGTTCCACTGACGCCTCTAATCAAATTCCACTTTCCCAACTCCGAAACCTACAAAGTCAATCTAGGACCAATGGATGGAGCTAATCATGAAAAGGAGACAAGATTCATCCTGCGCTTGTATGTGAATTATTACAACCTAATTAAAACGTATGGACAAGTTCCAACAGGATTAGAAGCCAGGAATTGGTTGGTGGATGGGAAAGATATCAACTGGTGGAAACAAAACAGGGACTGTTCCGAAAAGCGACCGGCAGATGTAAAACAATAAATCGTCTATTGACGTAAATGCAATAATATAATTATACTAATTTGCGTCAATAAGACGTTGGTAGATTTTAGATTAGATTTTTGAAATACCAATTTGATAAATTCTAAGTATTTAAACCTAGGTAAATCATGTATTTAACTCACTCTCTAAGTCAACTGTAACCTGTTCAGAACTCATTGTCTGAGTTCTGACAAAGCAACAAACCATCTTTAAAACACAAATCATCTTATGTATTTAAGTATTAATATATAACCAAGTATTCTTAATAAAGTCAACATTAATTTAACCAGTAACCCCGTCGTCATTTCTCTTCAACCACCAATCGTTAATTTTGTTAATTTATCAATTTTTTCTCTTGAGTTTAAGATTCTCCATGGACCTATTAATTTAAAGGTACTTGTTGGTTGTTCTTTCCAGATTTCATTTGCAAATCTTTCAGCATTGCTTTCTGTTATCTGATTATATCCCCACCAGATTTTTTTCTGAATTGATTGATGGACCAAGGAAAGGGAAAGTGTTGAAAAATTGTAGATTGTTTTCGATGTTTTTGTTGTTGAAATGTTGAATATACTTCTTTCTTAGGCATATTTTGATTATTCGAATCCAAATAGGTTCTCGGCCAAGTAAAGAGTAAGCAGTCATTTGGTTAATTGACCAGTCGTACTTGCACTTGAAACGATAAAGGTGGCTGCTTATGTATTCTAAATGGTTGATTAAGTTTTGTTGTGTCAGTAGCTGTTCTAGTATTAGTTCTGAGTATGTGATGATTTTAGTTTCAATTAGGGTGTTGGTTAGTAGTTTGATTATATGGAGAGGGAGATATTTTATATTAGGGTTTAATGTGGTTAGTTTATGTGTTGTATCTGACATTTTTTCAATTATATGATTTGTGTCAAAAATGTTTTGAGGTTGTAAGGTGATCAAGGCACCAAGGATTTTGTTTTTTGAGTCAACTTTTATGTTGTAGTTAGTTCTTTTGATTAAGTCTTCGGCTCTTTTTAGGTTCATGATGTTGACCGTAAGTTTTGTTTTTTCAGGTAAAATGGTTAGATTCATGGGTTTCAGTGCGTCTTGTATTAACTTGATTGCAATTTTTGTGCACATTACAGCATGTTCTGGTCTATCTCCTAGTCTCGGTGGTATTGCTATGATGAGGTCATCAGCATAGGCTGTTATATTGAACTGGAGTGGAGAGGAGTCTATGATTCTTTTTCCTTGTCTGCAGATTGGAGGTTGACAATATTGATTGTCATTTATGTAGGTAATGGCTTTTTGAATAGTCGCAATGAAAAGGAAAGGATCAATGGTTAATGTTGAAGGTTTTCTTGAATGATCTTGTAAGTGAAATGATGGCTGAGCGATTGTTCTGAAACACTTTAAAGTTGTAATCAGTAATGATTAATGGAAGATTGTGTGGTTCTTGGAGAAAGATGAGGTGGTATTGTGATGTAGCTTTATTGACAATATGTGTTGTTTTTTGTAGTGAGTTGTTACAATTATAATTAATTACTTTCAACTCCATAATCCCAGTCAGTTATCTGTTTCAGGCTTTTAATAGCTTTTTGAAAGGCTTGACAGTTGATTGATTTAGGTCGATGATTTGTTGATTTCTCTTTGTTTTTGATGCACAATAAGCAATTGTAGGTTGAGTTGTTTTCACTTTCACATGTGGCTGTTTTGTGTTCACCTTGACATTTACCACACGTGGGCGCATTGGAACAATATTTGGAGGTGTGACCAATGGATAGACAATTGGTGCATGTCTTGATGTAAAAGTTGTCCTTGATAGGGACACTTTCCGCTCCAATATAAATGCGACCTTGATTTTCTATGATTTGACGAGCATTTCTAGATAACCTGATGATTAATTTTTTCTTGGTTTCTCTGTTGCGAATAGGAATATCATAAGTTTGAACAACCTTTAGAAATTCATCTTCAGGTATATTATTTCTTCGTTTTATGACATCTGCTGATTCCTCAGAGTAACTATTGATAACTGCCGATACTTGAGGCATCAATAGTTTCATCTCTTCAACTTCCAATTTATCTTTTAATTCAGTAGATTCAACATGGGTTTTGATCTTTTCTAGGGTTTCCATATTACTCATCGTCACTTTGACAGCAGTTAGGCCAGCTCTGGCTTCATCTAGTTGAACTGTGGTGTCTTGTTTTGATAGCGAAGTAATTTCCTTTAAAATCTCACTTGGAAGGACTTTAGGATCTTTACTTTTAATGATGTAGTTTTTTGGTTTCTTTGCTTTCTTTTGTTGTTGATTTTCACTATTGACAGACAGCTTATCCATTAATTTGTTGGTGAAACGATCTAGGGTGTATGAGCTATCTGGCGCAGTTGAATTGACTCTGGTGGCATGGTCAATCATGGTATTAATAGCACTTAGGAAGTTGTTGACCTGATCGCTAATTTTCACTTTGGCAGTTTTGCTCATATTGTTTAACATTGCCATTGCAAAGTCATCAATGTTGTTGCGCACATGGTATAATGTTGATGGTGTATCCATGTGTTTCAAGGCATTGGATATGACAGTTTGGTTTTTACATGATTTAACCTCTTCATAGGTGAAGTTAAATTGACCATTTGATGTCATTTTGTTGAGGACAGTGTGGTGAAGAGTTTAGCACAAAAATTAAGTAATTAATTTGGGTTAATTTTAGTTAAAATTTACGGAGGTCGTAAAAAACGTTCTGATAGGTTTACAGTAGAGTGACGTCATCTGGTGTGATATTAACAAACAACTCAACCTAACCTCGTGAATGAAAAACAAGAATGGGAATTCACCCAAGTTTCGTATTGAACAAAATTTAGTCAGAGTTAGAGTTGCTAGTTGCAACTCTTCAATAGTTAATCTCTATGTTTAGTTATTTGTTTATTTTTTGTTTGTTAAAATTGGATTAACTGTTTTAATTTTTAATTTTTAAATGACTTTCACTGTATTTTAATATTTTTTTAATCCAGTGCTTACGTAAAAACCAACATTATTGTGTGTAATTTGTTTCAACTCTTGAGTTGTGTTGTGTTATTTATTAAAATTGTCTATTAATTGGGATTGGCAAGCTGTTTATTGTTAAAAATTAACCAAAATGGTGCAGGCTAATACAACCACAGGTCTGATTAAACATGACAAGAAGCATCGATTGAAACAACGGTTTGAAGTTAAACATAAACTAGGCCAAGGAACTTATGGAAAAGTTCAATTAGCCATCAATAAAGAAACCGGGCAAGAGGTAAGGAGAATGGAGTGAAACCTGTTGTGTTTTTACTCTAATTTGTTAGTCAAACACGTTAAACTGATCCACATTAACTACCTTTCATTAATCAACCATTTGTTGCCCCATTATCTTTCTCCCTTTCTCACTCCTCTTCACTTTCCCTATCCATTACAACCTATGTTGATATTTACAGGTGGCAATTAAGACAATTAAAAAGTCAAAGATTCAAAGCGAACAAGATCTTGTACGAATCAGAAGAGAGATTCAGATCATGTCTTCAATTCAACATCCACATATCATCCATATTTATGAAGGTGAGGCAATCAGTTCAATCAGTTCAAGGTAATCTAATCAATCTGTTTAATCTTTCTTTTTACCATTTATTTTCTTTTTCTTCTCCTCTCCCTTTTTTTCATTTCCCTTGTCTCTTCTTCTCTCTTATCTTCTTCCTTCTCTTCCTTTCTCATCTATCAACTATTCGCCCTACACTTCGGCCTCTTTTCTCATTTTTGGCTTAATAACTTGGGCTGCACAATTTTTCATTTTAACCTAAAAATCACTCACTTTGCACTGATCATCTTCCCACATCTTTTGGATGCCAGTTTTTGAAAATAAGGAAAAGATAGTGTTGGTCATGCAATATGCCAGTGGAGGTGAATTATACGAATATGTTTCGGATCGAAAGTTGTTGTCAGATAATGAAGCCCGACGATTATTCAGACAAATAGCAACAGCAGTTTACTATTGTCACAAGGTTTGTACATTTGAATGTTTCTTTGAAGCGTAAGAAAGCAAAAAAAAAACATTTCAGTCTTAGCAATATCTTTGCTGTTTTTTTCTGAATCACTTAAAATGATTCTAATCGATGTCGTTAAACCTGTGTCTTAAAATTAAGAAGTTTTCTGCTCATCCAACCGGAAGCAAAATTACTAGCTATTTCAATGTACAATGCAGCTTAAGGGGAAACTTTTGCTCCCCTTTGAAAGGCCAGATGAAAGAAATGAGCTGAAATTGAAAATGAAAAGCCTATGTAAATTTGAAGAAGTAAAAGTTGAACTTGCTAAAAATAAGATTCCTTGTTGAGCGAAATAACAGAAAGACAGTTAGACAGAGCGAAATGTATATGTTTGAAGTCAGCATAAGCAGAAAAGGATAAGGAAAGATGAAGATGAGAGGGAAACAACAATTTTGGTCTCTTCAAATTCAATGTAAACGGATGTAACCAGATGATGGCTATCATCCAAAATGATGAGAAACTTGCAAATTGATGATGATGTACCATTCCCTATCATCTCTGTAGTTTATTTGTCTCAACCCAAACGTATTTTGTTGAGTTGGTGCAAAATATGCACAAAAAGTGCTCTTACTGCTCATTCACTTCTAAAACCATCATTTTCGTCTTATTGAAGTCTCAACTTATTTGATTGGTAAATGTTGCTAAATTGTTGGCTACCAAAATTGGAATCGGTCTTTTCAGACCAAAGTTCATGTTTCATCTTGATAGGCAATCGTCAGGCAATCTTGATCACTACTAATTACAATCAATGAAAGAACTCTCTTTTTGCTCAAACAGATCATCACTATCATCATGACAATCATGTAAATAGAAACTTTCACTCCCTAATTATCTTTGCCTTTTCAATGATTAGACCAGATACATTTCAGGATCAAGAAATTCATCAAAAAATACTATGAAGATGAAAAAACAAGGATGACAAAAAAATGGTAGAAAAAAAGGGAATTAGAAGATGAAAAGAAAGTGAAGATTGTTTGATGCGTAGATTAAAAACTACTGATGCTATCGTCATAAATAAATTTTTTGGAAACAACTCAAGAAATCTGTTGAATTCAAAGCTATCCATCATCTACAGGCTTTATATAATGTCTGAAATTCTTTATGACTGACTGTTTTACCGGAACTATTACAATCACGAGAGAGCAACCCTTCACCTTATAATTATCTATCGGTTAGTCTGACTGAAATAAACATTTCATCCGGAAACTTCTATCATGTTTACAAATTTCAAGACATATCCCAACCATATTTTGTACTTCCTCACCTCTGAATCGTCCGTACTTAAATGTAATTGATTCCTGGTCATAATCTCAATCGCTTTTGATAGCTCAGTGAAATAGGTATCGATAAATCCAGTGAATTTGCATCTTTAAATTTTAATCAAATCGTTTAAAATTGAAGTTCTGTGGACTCTACTTTGCAATGTTCATTTTTGCCTGATCGGGTTGACAAAACTGTTTATACTCAATTGTCAATTTACTTAATTATGTTAGACGTAATGGTTCTGGAATTTTAAAATAGAAATTTTGAATAGAAAATTATTGACCCTGAAAAATATCTTTGGAAAGACTGATGATTATTCCTAACAGACTCACCCAGGTTTTGAGACTTTTCAAAGGTCTATGAATTTTCTCATAGCAACATTTGTAAAATGATGAGACAAACATTTTTTTCATTCTTACATGTTATTCGGTAAATCTCTTCATCGCCATCTTTAATTCTCACCACAGATTACTCGCATTATTCAATCTCTATCTTTCTTTTTCTTCCTTTCCTTTTCTTTCTCTCTTTTCCATTTCTTGAAATTCACTATTCCATAAATAGATGGGTTACCATCTTACAAAGAATCATGTTTTTCTTCATTTCTCTCCTTTTTTTCTTTTCGCCGATAATAATGTAATAACTGATTATTTTCACCAATTTTGTTTCCATTCATAGCCCAATATTGAGAGAAAGAATCAAGGCCTTTTCATGTTATTACCTCATGTGTTATGATTTCTTGATGAACCTTGTTTTCAGCTTCAAACTCACTTCATAAATTTTTACACATTCATTTGAAAATTAACATGACTAAACATTGCGAACCCAAGTCTTTCTCTTAGCTCATCATGATCAAGTGACGTTATTGAGAAATATTATTATTTTGATAATAAGATGTTAACTGTTTCTTTGTTTTCTTTTTTTGTCAGAATTATGATAATGTGACTCAGTTTTGCTATCTGGTTACAACTTTTTAAGACTTTGCACGAACTCTTAAGACTCAAGTATTGCATTAATTTTAGTAGCTCACAATTTCACATTTGCTTGAAATGCCATGAAAAATTTAATATCTGAGTGGTTGACTCTGAAATGATTAATTCTCTGATTTGTTTATTCCGAAATAGAACAAAGTGTGTCACAGAGATCTCAAATTGGAAAACATTTTGCTAGATCATAATGGAAATGCAAAGGTTCGTTCAATTATTGAATAACTCAAAGCAAGCTTTACTTAAGCTCCAATCTTAATTTTAGATCGCTGATTTTGGCCTTTCAAATGTTTTCGACGAGAAACATTTTCTTAATACATTCTGTGGGAGTCCACTTTATGCATCGCCTGAAATTGTTAAAGGGATACCTTATTATGGTGCCGAAGTCGATTGTTGGTCTCTTGGAGTTCTTCTTTACACTCTTGTCTATGGAGCTATGCCTTTTGATGGAAGCAATTTCAAGCGTCTAGTCAAACAAATATCTGAATCTAGTTACTTTGAGCCCAAGCAGAAATCAGGTAATTAATTACAACAAACCTTAATTGTTCACCATAATACCTGGTATCAGTTACTTATCAAAAAATCTGATTATCATTAAACAGAGGCATCGGGATTAATAAAGAGATTACTGGCTGTAGATCCTAATAAACGAGCTACAATCATTGATATTTGTACTGATTGGTGGGTCAATAAAGGATATGAACATTCGCTTCTTCAAGTAGCTGAAGATCTTTCTAATTTAACGCCTGTTCGTCTGGATGTATTACTAGCTTTAGCTCCTACTTCACCGCCGACTAAAAGTGAAAGACAACATCCTCTGGCTAAAAAAGAGTCTGAATCGGAGGAAAATAGTAAACAAAGAGGATCTGAAGCAGTTTTGTATCCTCCATGTAGCGATTATCAAGCTGATACTTCTGAACTTTCCACAGATATTCCCACTTATGCCGAAGAAGAAGAAGAACTTGCTGATGCAAGTGAAATTGTTGACGATGGTGACGAGTTTTTACCTTCAGCTGTTGCCGCAGCACTTCAGGATGAATATCAAGAAGCTATTGATAAAAAAGATGAAATTGAACAAGCACAAGCTTCTGGAATAACTGGAACAGAAGATAATGAAGCAACTAAATCAACCAAAAGAATAGCTGGGTCGTCTTTCGATTCTAGTGTTAGCCAAACTCAAAGCCAAAGCCAGATAACGAAAAGAAAGAAACCCAAAAAAGGATCTGATGTTACAGTTAATGATACAGATGACAAGCAAGCTTCGACCTCAGGTTATATAAGTGATGTAACGTCAATCACAGCGACCAGTCAAATGGTCACTGATGATTTATCCAATGAAACAGGAGAAACGATAACCGCAATAGATGAACATAGTGAAGTAGAGCAAAAATCTGAAAATGATGCCACTATGCTCAACCAAACAGTGCCTTTAGACTCATTGCCTGATGAAACTATTTCTACATCCTCTGAAATTTCATCTCTCCTTGATACAAGTAAAGTTGATTCAACACAACCAACATTACATACTCAATCTAGTGCCTCAATTAAAACACTCACAGCCAAAGATAGCCAAGCTACTCTATCAGAATCCTCGACAAGTACTCTCATTGATGAACCACGTTCACAAATATCTCAACAAAAGTCAGTTTCATCTTCTAGTGTCAAAAGCAAAAGTAAAAGTGCCAGTCCTAAAAGACCAATATCTTCGAAAACTTCACATGTTTCATCTACTCCCACTGCTTCATCAACAGTCACAAGCAATAAACCGTCCACAAGTAGCTCACCTAGCTCTAAGGTATCGGATAAACGTATTAAACCAGTTGATAAAGGTCCCAAAAAAGCCAAAGAATCTCCACCGAAAAGTATAAAAGATGAAGAACCAGCAAAAGCTTCAACCTCATCGACAACGAAAAAAGATTCATCTTCATCAATTGCATCGCCTTCAGCATCAAATTCTGAAATTGGTGATTCACAACCCACAACTCCAGATGCAGAAAAAACCAAACCTTGGCTAGAGAGAAGATCCAGTGTTAATCGAAAGGTTGGAAAAATTTCATACCCAAAGTTCCTTGAGAATACAACACCACCGGAAAAGAAACCGGTTCCTACTTATGGTAAAATATCAACAGCTAAAAAATTGTTTGAAACTCGACGATCAAGTATCGATAAGGATAAGGAAAGAGTCATTCCCATGGTTAAGGTGTCTGATGCTAAGCAAGCCTTTGAAAGACGAGCTTCAATGCCTGCTTCTCAAGCTCCGTTATGGAAAAATGCTGGCGAAAGAAAAGGTAGCTTAATAACACAATCTTCTCTTGATGAAACTAGTAGTCGAATTTTGTCAAAAGAAAAGTCTTCCACTGAAACTAAACCAACAACTCGTCCAAAGAAATCATCTTTATCACCAGATAAACGAAGATCTCCAAATAAATCTACAGTTACAAAGATCGCTGATAAATCTCCAGAAGCCAAACCTTCGAAAAAATCTGATTTAAAGTCTGAAACATCCCAAAAACCAAAAGAATTATCTCCAGCAAAAGGTAAAAGTGAAATCTCTGATCAAATTATTGTTAACAAAAAATCAGATGATGCTGGCGTAACTATCAAACCAACAGACGAAAACAAGCAGCAAAAAGTGAAACAAGAAACGCAACATGATGATCAACAAGTTAAGCCAAAAGAATCTGGGTCTGTTGGTGATGGAGGAAACGAAAGTGTTTCAAGGTTGACTGATTCTCCGTCTATCGTACATAATGAAGACGAGAGAAAACTTGTCGCCAAAGATATAATAAAAAAGCAAATTGCTAAAGCCAAGTTACAGGAACTGAGACAATCATCGATAGAATCTTATGAATCAAACTTATCAGCTTCAGATCAAGGAAAATTAAATTGCCAAGGAGGATCAGAGGAATCTTCCACTTCTTCAACAGCTTCTACTGCTAAACCTAAATCCTACGTAAAAGCTCCTCAACCATTTATCAAAGAAGAAATCAAACCTACACCAGTCCGAAGCGTCGCTGAGATTAAATTATCCTCAAAACCTAAATTGGGCTTGGACATTGAGGCAGCTCATCGAGGTCAGCAACAAAAACAACAAAAAGAGATTGAAGAAGTAGCACCAACTAATATTGTGGAACCACCATCAACAGCAGGAACTCAAAATCAAGAGTCGAATCCAGGAACACCATCAACTGCATTAAGCAAAGCGGCTCCAATCACCCGAAGTTACAAGAAGGTGATATTCACCAAGGACGGAGCTTGTATAACAGAAACTGGTAAAATAATCGCAGAAGAAGGAGCTGATGGATCATTCAGCAGAATTGAGAAGAAGAGTAAAGTAACACATTACCCTGTTGGTGCAGCAAGTTCCGCTCGGTCCGAATCAAGTGAAGAAACTCGAACAGTTAAAAGCTTTGGTGGATCTGCTGATGATGGCCGCAATGGTTCTGTTTCACCTCCCGCTGTGCGGCCAATTCCTGATCTTCGTAGATCTGAAAGTGCATCTTCTTCCGGATCAACTGATATCTTTGATGATATATTTGACACTTGGAGTGGGGATCCAGTTTTCAGTAATCTCAGTGGTCGAATGAGATCAATTTTCTCTCAGAGTCGATCGCCTTTCGCAAGCCTTTGGGGCACAGGTCGCTCCAAAAAGGCGAAAAAGAAATCACGAGCCGAAAGTGCTGAACGTAAACCCAAAACTGAAACTCAATTGGGCAGTGGTTGGCGCAGAACACCAGGTCATGGGACAGATCAAGAATACAGTGATACAGACACTGATACAGAGCAATCTATTGGCTTTGGAGGTGGAGGTGGACTTTGGAAGTTTCTTGGATCCAATCCTTCTTCAAGTAATCTGCTCGATCGTCATCGGTCACTTCTATCAAAACATTTTGGTTCAGATGACTTTTTCAGTGATAATGAACCATTTGGCTCTTCTTTTCGACGGTCACTAAGTCGTGATAGAGGATCAACATCATTCGGTCCAACTCGCAGCTCAGCTACACCCACTGTTCGAATGGTTATTAATCCTCTTCGTAACATAGACTCTGCTACTCGTATGGCAACCCCGCCTTCGAAACAGGATAGTCTAGATTCTAATGAGAGTGGAGGTAGCAATGCTCAACATATTAACTCAGCATCATTCTTTTCAAGACCAGTTACCGGAAGACCTTATGCTCGAACTATATCTAGAGAAAGTCAAAGGCAACGTGAAGGCTGTGAGGACAATATTGGAGGAACCAGTGGGGCGACCTCACTGGATTTGGATGAATCAGGTCCACGACGTCGAGTAGAGAAATGGTTGGATATGAATCGAGATGATGATGAGATCGATCAGAATCATCCAATCAGTATGTACACAACTATCCGCCCTCGCCCAATAAACCGTTATGGAAGATCCGTTAGTTCTCGATTTGGTTTTGATCTAGGATCAGTTGACTCAAATCGAGTTTTAGATCCACCAAGTGGATCAAATTTGTCTTTCAGCACTACTCAGGAAATTCAAATTGGATCTCCTAAAGTCTCTGAAACATCTCGATTTGTCAGAGATGATTCTATGACAGCTAAACCTCGGTCAGAGGTGATTATACCTGTTAATCGAAACACATCTCCTATTGTAACCTCAAACTCCAATAAACCTTTAATTACCATGAAATTGTCACTTGGAGGTGGAAATGAACCCAGGGAGTCGAGGACTTTAATTTCAAGTTCAGGAGTAGGAGGAGGAGGAAGATTGGGACTATCTTCATCAGGTATTGTTGAAACACCGGGTACGGCAGATTCTGACGATTGGTCAAGTCCAGTTTTACTTCCTGAAAACTCTTCCTTACTGGATCAGCTTCGTACCCATGGTTATCGAAATCTGGTTTCACAGCGGTTATCTGGTCTCAGTGGAGCCTCCGGAGGAGGAGAATCCAGGTACGATAATCGCGACAATAGTACTACTACTACTTCCACAACCACAACCACAACCAGCCTTCCTCCTCAACAAATGAAAAGAGGTAAGAGTTTAACGGGAGACTCTTCCTCACTTCGTGCTCTTGAGAATCTAATTGAGAATGATGGAGAAATCGCATGGAATCCTGTTAATGGTGAAACAATTAAATATAATAATAGCATGTTCGAGTCAATGGAACCAACCACTAACCATGAAACTAGTTCTAATCGGATTGTTAGAGTTGATAAAATACCTGTTGACCGTGATGGTGTTATTAATAGTTGGGTTCAACAAAAACAATCTAACAAAGCTAATAATATCATAGATGATGGGAATGGGGGTGACGATGGTGATAATCAAGGAACCATTAGTGGTCAAAGACTAACAAATAATAAAAATCAATGCAAAACTGAGATAAATGTGGATATTGTGAGAAATAATGATAAATGTAAATTTAACAATAAGAAAGGTTCTGAGTATGTAAATAGTAAGGAAATTAATCATCATCGTCCAAGCCTGAACCAACACCTAAATCCCTTTCACCTTCACCAACAATCAGAAACTGATTGTGGACCCGAAATTACCTCAAAATCATCAGCACCACCACAGGCTTGTTTCAACAGGCAAAAGTCTAATGATAATAAATCATTTCATCATCTGTCTAAAGATGCTTATGATGATATTAATAGGAAAAATGTAAAAAATGATGTTGATAATAATGAAGATACTTCCGCATCTCACAGATCGTTAATCAACAATGCCAACAGTAGTACCACATCTAATGATCCAAATCACAAAGAAACTCTTCAGGAACGGATACTTCGTAAATCATATTACTCTCGGTTCAATCATCCCCTTGAAAGGAGAGGATCATCTAATCGACGACGAACTTCATTAATAGAAAACGGTGATCGACTTTTTGACTTTTCGTTATTTGATAATCCACATTATTCTCGTCATTATCCTTCAACGTCGACTTCCAATCACCCTCACTCACATCATCCCGATCTCCAGCCATTTGATAGTCTTGGAAATCATCATCATTCTCAACAACAGAATCTTCACCTAAAGCCTCCACTTTTTCTTACAAATGATCAGTTTATTCAACGAGTTCAAGTTAGAGCTCAACAGTTAATTGAAGAGGCTCGTGAGAGACGCGACAGAATCAATTCGAAGTTAATGTCATCCTTACGACCAACCACTTTTGACCTTAATCACGACAGAGATGATTTCTTCGGACATGGTAATCACAGTAATAACTCTTCTCATTCTCTTGCATATTCTTCGAGGTCTCGAGAGCCATCACCCATGTTTTCCCGACGAACCAGTTCTTTTTCAGGCTCAGAAGAAGTTGATCTCAAATCTCGTCGACCTTCATCGTCCACGACATCAACAACAACTAGTCAACCATCAACCAATAAAACAATGAATGGAAACAGTAAAAGCTTTTCTAGAAGTCAGTCTGCTCGGACAAACTCTACGCGATACACCAATGGCCACAGTCAAGATTTAGATGACGATTTAATTGATAATATTGACGACAGTAATCAATTTGCCAGTGATGATAATGACTTTGGAGATGACTTAACTTCTCGTGCCCAAGTTGTTTCAGAAGCTTTACGGTTACTCAAAGAGCGTGCCTTACAAGAGAATTGATCTTAGCATCGATGGACAATAATTGGACAATACTTGTTCCCGAATGATTCATTATATTGAGCAAAAATATAATAGATTCATTTAATACATTCGACTTATTGCATTGTAATCTTTATTTACTCAAATAATAAGAGAATCTCAGTTTAAACCATTCAAAGGTTGAAATTCTTTTTCTATTCTTGATCTTGCTTAATCTTATTCTGTCTCATAAATTGAGTTGGAACTGATTAGTTGATAAGATATAGAAGATGAAAGGACTGTATCATCAGTCGAGACAATATGTAAGTCTGGATTAATTAAAACCCGAATACCACGAGAGTCTTTCATGACAAGTTCATTGTTATCATCAATTCCAGTTATAATCCCATGAAAATTAAGATGAATTGTCTTCTTTTGACTAATCCATTTTGAGGCCAATAAATCACGAACCAAATCAGGATCTTTCCTCATTGTTTCAATAAGTATTTCAAAATTGTTTAAAACTCTTGCTATCAATTCCTCTCTGTTGATGGGTTCCAAAAGAGTACCATGCATGTGATTGTGGGCAGCTATAATTGAATTGAGTGTTGGAACACCAGAGACACTGTTGAGTCTAATTCCTATTCCAACTGTGAACCATGTATCATCAACCGAAGATTGTTCAACTAAAACACCAGCAATCTTTAGTTTTTTCCAAGTAACTGAGTTTGGCCAAGTATAAGTTAAACCAATGTCTTGATAACCAGATAGCTTTTCGTGAACAGAGTTGACAATAGAAAGAGCGGCAATTGATTGAAGTAATGGGGATAGATTACGATCTGTAAGGTTAACATTGACTGACATATAAATATCACCCATTGGTGAAGTCCAAGTTTGACTTGCTCTGGCTCTTCCACGAGTTTGTTGATCAGCGATCACAACTAACCCAGGTAAACCAACAAAATCACGGGCAAGATCTTGAGTTGAGATAACTTTCTCAGTTGTTAATATGTTGCTTCCAAGAAAGGTTGTATTTAAATGACGCTGATATGATGGAACACGAAAATTAGCAGATTCACAGTAAGGTGGAGTGGTAACTGGTAAATAATCAGGAGATGCAAATAGTGATGATCCTGGCGACATAATCCAACTGATTGGTGAACCTCCAATCGGATAATTGGTTAACTCTATTTGATTGTCTGCATGTAAACATGCTGGTCGAACGTTACATTCGGAAATAGTTGCGAGTAAAAAACAAACTGTAACAATCAAAATAAATGCCATGTTTAGATGTCGAGGAAAATTCATCAATATTAGTGTTGAATTATATGAAAATAACTTTACACCAGCTCTTAACAATTTCTTTTTCTTCACTCCTAGTACTTGACAGTATCTATTGGTTTAATCTAATCAACGTAGATTCAAGTGAATAAACTATTTCCAACTCGGAATTTCCAAGTCTTATAACATGATTATTAATTGCTAAGCTAGACTGTTTTTGATATCAGTTCTGTACTGGTTGTTTTTTTCATCAATCAGCTACAGAACAAAAACTAAGCGCTAAAAGACTTCAAAGATGTTTCTAGGCCTTTATTTGAACGCACAAAAACATTCTTTACATTTATTTTCTGTTTATTTTAAAATTTTGATTTTCTAACGAGGGAAGTACCCGAGGTCATCCGAATAAAAATTAATATTTTTACCATAAACTAATTAGTTTTTATGAGTGTTTAGTTTTCTCGAAATCTTTCGGGTAGCAAATTAAAGATTAACGAGAAAAACAGAATTAAAATTCAATTTTTTACATGTAAAGTAAGGTAATGAGCACACAAAATGAGTTAAACAAAAATGCTCATCACAATGGGTTCATATTATTCTTCCACATTGATCTATGCATAGCGATCGACAATAAATGGCGCTTTTCGAACCTTCTGTCCATTTGCTACTCAAAAGACAACGAACTATATTGTTTGTCAGTAATAAGAATTCAATGACACTCTAATCATTGAAATCTGTTCGGATAAACTCGGGTACCTCCCTTGTAAGTAAAGCAAAGCAGAGCAAAATTGATTATGCTGATTATTACTTCGATCTTTGTTGGTGAAAAAATTATTCGATTTGTTTCTGTTATCGTTTACGGAACCGAGTTGAAAATAGTCTTGATTTCGTTCATTGCTTTATATTATCAAATAGAAATTAATGAAATAATTTGATAGACTAGCTTAATATAATGCTATTAAATTTTTATTGATGGAATAATCGCAAGAAGTGTTTTAAGTTGCATCTTATTCTGGTTATTACATCAAACATAATTATTTGTTTAGTCCTATTGACCATAAATCGTTTATCTTTTAATCCATCCAAGTTCATCATTCAAAGCAAACCAACCAATTCTTCCAAATGCTGTAGCTATTTGTTAGCAAGGCTCAGTCTAATGAAAATAGAAAGCAACATCAATTTATTAATTTGTATTCATAATGAATCAGAATCTCAAGAGTTCATACTTATACAGCATTGAGCGCTAAGAAGTCCTTTGCCACAAGGTGTTATCGTTACAATGGCGTTAGCACCAAAATTTCCAATACAATTTGCTTCTATTGACGCCACACTTTCGTTTGAACAGCCTATAAGCAGACATCCTGTAAATTTGATTAAGAGATGAAAAACCAAATTAGTTTGTCGGCTATAAGTTTTCATTCAAATTTACTTACGTCGTTCTTGTGGAACTGAAGCTGAATGATTATCATGTATGAGCACGGCAAAGAACACAAAAGCAATATCAATTTATTAATTTTCTATTAATACTGAAACAGAAACTCGAAAGTTCATACCTGTGCAGCATCGATAGCGAGCCCGTCCTCCATCACAAGGTTCACGTCGGATTGTATTACTACCGTATGCTCTCTGACACATGGCAAATACTTGTTGAAGAGTTCGGCTGTCACAGCCTGTAGTCCGACAAACTGTATTTTCATTAAGAGAGGGAGAAAAAGATTGACAATTAGCTGAGTTGTCGGCTGTGAGTTATCATTAAAACTTACATCTATCTTTAGCTTGAACTGGATCATTTATGAGCATGGAAAAGAACACAAAACTTAAAAGAAATAGTTTGTAGATCATTTTGAACCAGAATATCAAAGTAATTGCTTTCACTCGAGAGTTATAAATATTTGTATAATTAATCAAATAAAGTTGGTGATCTTTATGGAATCAAAATCAGTCTGTTTATATACTTATTATAAAAAATTGAAGAAAGAGAAAGAAAAAGATCAAAGTAAAACATATTTTCTTTTGAGTCAATCTAAATTGACTTACATTGCCAATCAAATTAAATTGAAACAATGTAATTATGTTTAAATATGTTCTTGAACAAGACAGATCAAATCAACAGCTCAATGAAGTAGTGATCAGAAAGCATTGTTTTATAGGATTGAGGTCAAAGTTGTGGGCTAGTTCGACCTAATAGCAATTAATAGTTCGTAATAATCAAATTAAAACTAAATCTGATAAATTAAACCTAAAAATTTCTTAAATACAGTTTGAATTTTGTCTCATTTTTTATTTATCACCCCTTAGTGATCAGACAGCATTGTTTTATAGTAAATGTCTATTGAATTGATGCCCAGGTGCCTTTCTTATACATAATATTTCGTAAAATCATCTGGAATGTCCTGAATGAACTCACAAAATGTCCTTTTCATTGGTGCAAAAACATTATCAGTCTAATAAATGAATGGCAGCTAATAATATAATCTTTGAATATCAAAGTTCGATGTGTAATATCTAATTTTACAGTTTTGTTTTATCAATTTCTCATGAACTGAAAGAGTTATCAAGTTTCGATTTAAAAAAGGTGACATTGCTCTCAAAGTCATTGAAGATCTTGAGTTATTAAGTCTGGAAGATTTTTGTTTCTTAAAAATTAAAAAATTTTAAAAAAATATATAGACTTGCTGTAATGCTCATTTGTGAATATTTGTTAAATTATTTGTGAAAATGGTCACCAGATAATGGCGATTATCGAAAACGATGGTTGACGCATTTAGAAATTTTTCAAATGTTTCCCGGTTATTCACATCTATCTCCTTCTAAAGCTGAATGAGCATCATTTATGAGCATGGAAAGGAACATAAAACTTAAAAGAAATAGTTTGTAAATCATTTTGAATTAAAACTTCAAAATATTTGCTTTCACTACAAAGTTACGTATATTTTTATAATCAAAGTAAAGTTGGTGATCTTTATGGAATCAAAGGCATAACTTTATTTAAAATCAGTCTCTTTGTATACTTATTATCTACACATCTACACAATATATAAAGTCAATGTATCAAATTTTTGTGTCAAGATTGTGGCCAAACTACGCGGGTTCTAAGAAAAAAAATTACACAGCATGAAAGCTCGAATTCAACTAAATCCACAAAAATAGGAAACCTCACCTCAGAATCCAGATCTCTGAGAAATTCATGAAAATAGAAGCTGGGGGAAAAACTGTAGAAGCCGTATTTAATAACATTGAGTGAGGGGGAAAAACTTTTCTGTTATTCAGGTTGATGGTTTATTGTTGGACCAGGGTTTAATGTAAAAATTGTCATTTGAGTAAAGAGTAAAGAGAGGCTTTTTCATTATATTGTCTACCACTCAATCCAACACTTCCACCAAATCAACCTAAACATCACTTTGAAAAGACTTTTCTCAACAAAATTGTCAACAAAATTGGCCGGGACCCTCTTGACCACTTTTACACCATCTAGCATGTCCACTATTAATCGCCATCATATCTCAAAAAGCGTTTGGAGTCTAAAGTGGTTAATGAAAGTGGTGGACAAAAAGTGATGTTTGATTTAGTTGATTTGGCGGATGAGTTAGATTGGGTGGTGGACATTACCGTGAAAAAACGTTTAGCATGGGTGGTTAAAAGAAACTTGCGATCAGCCATGATCGCAGCAGTTTCTTGTAAAAATTAAAGAAAGAGTAAGAAGAAAGATCGAAGTAAAACACATTTTCTTTTGGGTCAATCTAAATTGACGTAAATTGCCAATCAAGTTAAATTGAAAGAATGTGAATGTGTTTAAATATGGTCTTAAACAAGTCAATCAAGTAGGAATCAGAAAGAAAGCATTGTTTTATAAATATCTATTGAATTGATGCCCAGGTGCCTTGCTTATACATAATATTTCGTAAAATCATCTGGAATGTCCTGAATGAACTCACAAAATGTCCTTGTCATTGGTGCAAAAACATTATCAGTCTAATTGCTGAATGCCAACTAATAATATAATCTGTGAATATCAATGATGTGTAATATCTAATTTTATAGTTTTGTTTTATCAATTTCTCATGAACTGTTATTAAATTTCGATTCAAAAAGGTGAAATTGCTCTTAAAGTCACTGAAGGTGTCTTGAGTTATCAATTCTGGATTAGGTGAATAAGTTGGCAACTGAGAGATCGCAATTTTTTGTTTTCCAATTTTTTATCTTTTTATCGATTATTATTATTTGCGAGTTTTCACTCACGGTAAAATGAATAAAAGTGAAATCAATCGATCAAATCATATAAAATTTGAATTAGCGTTTGAAAGAGATACCCTCATGTTATGATACATTCATCGAGCGATGAAAATGAACAAACAACATGCTTATCAAAGATACTTACGAGGGAAGTACCCGAGATCATCCGAGTAAAAATGAATATTTTTACTATAAACTAATTAGGTTTTATGAGTTTTTAATTGTCTCGAAATCGAATTAAACACACACATCGAATAAAATTAAATCTAAGGTTTAGAATGATAATTGTACTAATCGTTAATTACTAATATTGTCGCAAACCAAGAATACTGAAAGAGGAGAAGAGAAAATTCTGATTAGTCATTAATTTTATATAAAAACAATTGAACTTGAATGAAATCTACACCAATATATAAACCTTGTTCACAATAATCACAAAGAAATGTTCATTTCTGTTCACAGTTTAAAGTCATCTTGAAACTCTTTTGCAAATGCAAAAATCATTCAATTTCGAGACTGAATCACTTGATACCAATCAATTGAAAATTAGTAGCGAAACTAGTTTCTTGTAAAACAACTGTAAATAATGCACTTTGATTGGAAAAGCTGTTTATTATTCTGTTTTACTAAGGATGTTTAAATCATAATGACAAGAGTCGGTTTGTCTCGAAAATCTCATTTTTAAAAATAATACTTTGTTATGTTGCAGATATTATAATTTTGCAAAATTAACTGCAAATGAAATGAGTTTCCATAAAACGCATTTAAAATGTTTATTTTTTGCAAATCGAGAGTGAAATTGATAGCTCAAAATTTGATAAATTCATTGAATGTCTATAAGTTTTCACCTTGGATTGAATTTGAAATTGACAGAGAAACAAAGAGGTTGATGAAAAAGTTGATTATTTTTCATTCAAAATTACGATTGAATTTTCTTCTTTTCTCGTCTCTCATCAACATGAAAACAGTGAAGGTGAAAAGGCAACGAAACAATATATCACTAAATTAATGTAAACTCAACTTTGTTTCTTTCTTGAATTGATTTTTAACAGTTTTAATCAATTTGATTCACATTGTCTAATCCAAAGTTTGATTTGGCTTTGCAATTTACTGTTCATTTACAACAAATTCATCTTTTTTCAACTTTTTTATTTCACTTCAAAGCATAAAATAAAAAAATTAACGCGCTAAAAGAAAGTCACTTCAATAATAAGACAGATTTTGTTGCTGTTTTTATCGTTGTTGATCTTGTCCTGTTATTATTGATTCAAAATCAAGTTAAATTGAAACTATCTACTTAAATGTAGTAAATGTGTTTGAATATAATTTGAAACAAGTCAGTCAAGTAGTGATCAGAAAGCATTGTTGCATAAAGTCATTTGAATTTATGCCCAGGTGCCTTTCTTTTACAAAATATTTATAAAATAAGCGTTTGTAAGGAATAGTCTCATGCTATGATACGTTCATCGAGTGGTAAAAAATGAACAAACAGCATTGCTTTCGTTTTCGGAATCGAAAATCATCAGATAAAACTTAATAAAATTATTTGATAGACTGGCTTGATATAATGCTATTAAATTTTTATTGATGAAATAATCGGGATAAGTGTTTTAAGTTGCATCTTATTCTTGTTACATCAAACATATAATTATTTGTTTAGTCCTATTGACCATAAATCGTTTATCTTTTAGTCCATCCAAGTTCATCGTTTCAAGCAAACCAACCAATTCTTCCAAATGCTGTAGTCATGTGTTGAAAAGGTTCAGCCTAATGAAAATAGAAAGCAATAACAATTTATTAATTTGTATGAATAATGAAACAGAATCTCGAGAGTTCATACTTAGACAGCATTGACTGGCATAACCATTTATACCACAATTCCTGCGTGAGACGGAAGTTAAGAGAAGCCGGGACCTCGTACGTGGGTCTGGTGGAACAAGTTCAGCAAGTTTGTCAGTACAAATCGGGTCTACTATATTGAAAGGTGCATTTGAACAGGGTACATTCGCACAGGCTATAATTTGATTACGAAATTGAAAACAAAATTAGTTTGTCGGCTATAAGTTTTCATTAAAATTTACTTATGACGTTGAGCTTGAACACAATGATTATCATTTTTGAGCATGACAAAGAACACAAAAGCAATATTAATTTGTTAATTTATATTAATGTTGAAATAGAATATCAAAAGTTCATACCTTCACAGCATCGATAGCGAAGACGTCCATCAGCACACCGTTCACGTCGGATTGCATTACTATTGAATTCTCTCCTACATTGCTCAAATACTTGATAAATAGGTCGGTTGTCACCACAATGTGTTTTCCGACAATCTGTATTTTGATTAAGAGATTGAGAAAAAGATTTAAAATTAGTTTAGTTGTCGGCTGTAAGTTTTTAATAACTTACGTCTCTCCCTAATTGTAGCTGATTGAGCATCATTTAACTTTATGAACATGGAAAAGAACACAAAACTTAAAATAATTAGTTTGTAGATCATTTTGAACACGAATTTCAAAGTATTTGATTTCACTACAAAGTTATAAATATTTGTATAATTAATCAAATAAAGTTGGTAATCTTTATGGAATCAAAATCAATCTCTTTATATACTTATTATAAAAAATTGAAGAAGGAGGAAGAGAAAGATCGAAGTAAAACATATTTTATTTTGGGTCAATCTAAATTGACGAACATTGCCAATCAAGTTAAATTGAAACAATGTAAATGTGTTTAAATATGATCTTAACCAAGTCAATCAAATAGTGATCAGAAAGAATTGTTTCATTGTCTATTTAATTGATTTCCAGGTGCCTTTCTTTTACATAAAATTTCGTAAAATGATCAATGCCAAAAATCACAGAAGTGAAGTAATAACCTGTTGGGAAAAAGTTTGGGAATTTTTGGTTTTTTTCTTGTATCCCGTAAGATAATTGTTGAATTTTTCTGAAAATTCAGAATGCTATAGTTGGATAGTGTAGCTTTGATCTCTGAGAAACCCACAATGAAAAAAAACAAAGGTCACTTCACAATCATTGCTCAAACTCGGAGGAGAAAAAAAAAATATTTTTGTTTAATGTTAAACTCTCATAGACAGAAATTGACTAACAACTGTAAGTCAACTTTTTTGAAGCTAAAACTCCATTCAAAATTGAATAGCTACAAACGACTGATCA